AATTAGTTTCTGACCAGTGAGGCACTGGTTTGGGCCTTCCCCCTGCTCCAGCAGAACAGTCTGGCACTGAGCCTTGTCGATGATTTTTTATTACCCTTGCTGCACGTGATCGCTGAAGCTGCCCTGAAGAACCTCTCGCAGGGACAAGGGCCAGCTGCCTCATAGGCTGCACATTTCTGATGGCTTGTGGATGACATCAAGTGGAATGAAGCAGCCCAGATCTACCAGACTCAGTGAGGACTCAGTGAAGAGGTTCAGAATGTGTGGAAGCCACCATGGGCCTGGATACTTTCACTGATCTAGCCATCTACATTGACAATGGGCTACAGAAGCGGAGAGAGGAAAAGAGGGGTTCTACCCAGCCACCTTGCACACACCCTGCACTAACACCCTTGAGTTCATCCCCCGAACACATGCAGGTCAATGTGGACTGCCGACGTTTGACCACCGAGGAGAAGGAGCAACGTTGGCACAATTGAGCCTGCACTTCTACTGCAGCGAGTCAGGACATATACTCGCTTCATGCCCATCACAGACCCCAGCCAGGAAGGGATCAGGAGACGACCAAACTTGGACTTCACAGTGGGACTTGGCTTGGGCACAACCACAAAAATACATTCAGGGCTGACACCCCCTCTTCAAGTCTTGACAGGCCCACCCAGACATTTGCTGCATCTTCAGGTTCCAAGTTAGCTGTGCCTCCGTGGCAAAACTTGACAGCTGCCATTGCTGTGGGCACTCACTGTTTCCAGGGCTGCTGCCAATTTCACAAATTCCAAGACAGCCCAAATTCTGCAAATCCCCATCTGGCAGAAATCCATACCAGACATTTTGGAAACCAGCAATGGGACATTCTTGTCATTGTGGCTGGTAACCCAGAAGACAGTGCCCATCGAAGCAGTAATTCAGGAACCCCACATAATCCTGCAGTTCAGTGTGATCCATTCCCTGCATTTCAGCATTGAGCATGTCAGCAGGCCTGCCTCCATAGTAACAGCTGCATGTCCAGGGGTCCATTCCAGGCAATGGTGAGTGCACTTCCATGTGTGCTGGGGCTCACAGCAAATGGCCAAACCAAGCCACTCCTGGGTCCGACCCCCCACATTCCTGATAAATACCAGGATTATGCAGACATCTTCAAAAAAAGAATGTGGACATTTTGCCTCTGCACTGAGACTATGACTTCCTACAACCTGGGGCGAAGGTTCCCTATGGCCATCTTTACACGATGTCTGAACCAGAACCAGTAGCTCTCCTTGCATATATTCAATAAAACCTGGCCCAAGGGTTTATTTGCTGCTCAACATTTCCCGCAGGGACGCCAGCCTTCTTCGCAAAGAAGAAAACAGGACTCTGCACCTCTTTATAGACTACCAGGCTTTGAGCCAAGTGACAATTTGGAACCGGTACCCCCCGTCCTTAATCCCTGAATTGCTGGACTGTGTAAGATACTCATGGATATTCACCAAACAAGACCTCTGGTGGGCTTACAATCTAATACACATCTAGGCCGGGGATAAATGGAAGGCTGCTTTGTGAACTTGTTACAGATACTTTGAATAACTGGTAATGCTCTTCGGACTGAACATTTGGTAAAGTCCCTGTGATCTTGCAACACTTCATCAATGATATATTTAGGGACATTCTGGATCAATAAGTTGTCTATTTAGATGATATTTGTCTTTTTGGAGAATCCAGGGCAGCACAAACACCACATCAGGACTGGCTAGGAGAGGTAGCAGCAGCATAGTCTATATACAAAACTGGAAAAGTGAACCTTCAACCAATCCTCTGCAGAGCTTTTGGGGTACATGCGCTCTGCATGAATCCAAATAAGATGGAAGCTGTTTACAACTGGGAGACACGTTGGAGTACTTGGGAAGTGCAGTGTTTCCTCCATTTCACCGATTTCTATCACCACCTTATCCCAGGGTTCTCACAGTGAACAGCTCACTTGACATCCCTCCTTTGGAAAACTGCCAAATTTGTTTGGTCATCTGAGGCTCACAAACAGCTCAAAATCAGCTTCACCACTGCTCCTATTTCGGTGAATCCTGATTCAGCTCAAGAGTTCTTAGTGGAAGCCGATGCATCTAATGTGGCCAGATAGGCCACGCTCTCTCAGACGCATGGGCCCCAGCACCTGCTGCACATAACACTCACAGAAGCTCCAACACACAGAAAAAGAAGTACAAAATCCTCTATAAGGAATTGCTTGTGATTAAATCCGCATTTGAAGAGTGGAGTCACTGCCTGAAGGGGATGGATTGCACCCTCAGCAAGTTCGCGGATGACACTAAGCTGGGGGGAGAGATAGATACACTGGACGGTACGGATAGGGCCCAGAGGGACCTAGAAAAATTGGAGTATTGGGCCAAAAAGAAATCTGATGAGGTTCAACAAGGACAAGTGCAGAGTCCTGCACTTAGGACGGAAGAATCCCATGCACTGCTACAGGCTGGGGACTGACTGGCTAAGCGGCCATTCTGCAGAAAAGGACCTGGGGATTACAGTGGTGGAGAAGGATGAGAACGAGTGTGCCCTTGTTGCCAAGAAGGCTAACGGCATATTGGGCTGCATTAGTAGGAGCATTTCCAGCAGATTGAGGGAAGCTCTTTTTTTGTTAACTATGTTAACTACCAGCAGCCTCCCCAAACCTGTCAGCTACCAACTTAGTTTAAGGATCCACCACATTCCAGAACTAACGGGGCATGTTGAGGACATTAAGAAGGCTACAAATGGTATGAAGACTGCCGGAGACAGTCTTTTATGTAGGCCAGAAGATCTGGTTATCTGCTAAGAATTTCAACATGGGCAGGCCATCTCTCAAGCTAGACCTCCAATTGCTTGGGCCCTATATATATCAGAAAATCAACCGTTGCTTTCAAACTCTGCTTACCCAAATCCCTCAAATTGTACCCAGTCTTCCATATTTCCCTCTTGAAAGCATCCACAGAAAATCTCTTCTCTGACTTGAATACAGCCATCACCCTACTAGTTCCAGTTCAGGTCCACAAGGAGTCTGAGGACTGAGCTATACTGGGCTCCAGATTATTGTGGTACCTCATAGACTGGGAAGGCTATGGCCCCAAAGAGCAGTACTGGGAGCCTGCCGGTAACATTCATGCCCCTGAACTTGTAAAAGACTCACAAATGTCACCCACAAAAGCCTGGCATGACAATGCCACAGGGCACACCTAAAGAGGGGCAATGTGAGGATTCATGGGACTTGAAATTACATCTGCTGGAGGCCAAGCAGGTGGCCCTTCCACACTGCCAGAAGCCAGCCTTGACAGTGCCCGAGGCAATAAACATGCATCCCAGGAGAACAGTCACTGTGGGGAGTGCCACCCACAGTAGTGATGACTGGCAGCCCCATCTCATATCTCTGATTGTCCCAGGCCTACTATTTAAGCCTGAAGGGAGTACCAGGAAGTTGTATGTGCACCAAGCCAGATCCCTGAACTGCTGCTGAGACAGACCCCTAATCATTCCTGCTTCCTTGCCTCATTCCTGGTTCCTAGCTATTGACTCCAGCTTAACCCTTGGGTACAGCTCCTGGCTATTGACTCCAGCCTGACTCCAGATTGACCCTAGGCTCCAGACCCCAGCTACCAACTCAGCTCCCTCAGGCTTGACCACCTAAAGCTCTAACCACTGGACTTTACTGCCCATGCCCTGATTCTGGACACAGGCTACCCTGTTACATACGGGCTACTGACACACATGCCATTGGTATAAAGGCCTCAACAGCAGGCTTATTATGCCCCATCACTCTCTTCAATCTGGTAGCAGTGATTAGTGTGCACTGACACTCCTATCCTGAAGCCTGCAGCAGGCATAGGTCAAACCCATGACTCGTCTTAGCCCCAAAGTGGGGTTCAACCTACCACCATGCCTAATCAGACCTTCAGCAGGGATTACTCATCCTCCTCTCCCCTCTGACTTGCAGACTGACTTAGCTCACCCTCCTTTTCACAGTGCTAAGCCCTGGCTTTTCTCCCACCACCCTAATACTCATAGGTTTCAAGATGAGAAACATTCTCCAAGGGATAGTTCTTCAAATAAGCTGAATGGTCTGGTCCACATCATGGAGCACGTTCCTCTACACAGCCCTTCAGGGATACTTCAGCTAATGGAGTGCAGGGGAATAATGGATGCACTGGGGCAAACAACGTTTTAGCAGAGGGCTCCCAGCTGTGGAACACCATGTCACTAGGGATCAGGAGGAATCTATCTAGGGACCTTCCATTGTAAGTATTTAAAAATAGAAGAAACTATAGCAATCTCTCTCTTCTTCCTTCCTTCCTTTCCAGCCCTTACGAGAAATAGCTGGAGTGTCCACGTACATATGAGCATGGGTGAATTTAAACCTTACTGAGGGAAGGATAATGCAAAGAGATGAATTTGCATTTCTTTCTTAATTCAGTGGGGCCTGTGGTCATTCTTATCTATTGAGGGAATTAGTTCCACAGCCTAGGTCTTGCTCCTGTGACAGTTCTGTTTTCTGTATTCAGGAGCCTCCCACTATTTCTTGGTTGATGGTTTCACTGTTCCCATGGAACACACCTTTTGCAGGAGGTTGTGGCTGTGGAAGGGGAGGTGATCTCTCAGGTACCTAGGGACAATCCAATGGAGGACTTTCATTACCTTGAGCTGACCTTAAATGGGCAGCCAGGTTGTATTGCTAAATAGGTGAGACCAGCTGGAGCTTTGTCAGGGCTCATTACCAGATACAGTGAGTAGAAACAATTGAGCCCAAAGGTCACAAATGGGAATCACTGTGATTAGGTCTGTTTCTGATAGAGTGTCAGCAATCCTGAAGCTTAGTCGGTGCAAATATTGGCATGTCCTTGTATGCACCTAGGAGGCAGTATAGGTGCCGCTAGACTGACTGAGCAATCAATGTCCAGCAATCTGCTATTCCTGAGTGTAGAAAAGGCCCAAGTCTCAAGAAAACAAACAGTGTGATTATTAGTTCAGGAAGGAAAATACATTACCAATATCCAGAGGCTGATCAGAATGTGTTCGAACAGGAGGCTGCTGTTTTCTTCGTACTATCTCCACTATCAGGGATGAGGAAAGATGCTCAAATTCTTTCATCATTATTACCTGATTAAAATGTGACTCTTTAACCACAAAGTTCAGGCAGTGTTCCTTAAAAAGTGAAAAACAGTCTTATCTGAGGAAACTCTATAATGTTATACAGAATAGAAGAAAAACCATTACAAAGCATCCATTCCAAAATACCCACTGAAGGTTTCCGATGGTATTAACCACGAGAAGAGAACTAGATGGTTTTGCACCAGAATCCTGAGAAATCAGTATCATGTGGTAGCATAATCTTTGTTATTCTTTCTGATATTAAATACAAAAAGCTTTGTCAATGCAACATTATTTATGCATAAAATTAAGCATTCAAAATGGAATGCCCAAGTTAAGGTTAAGTATCAGAGGGGTAGCCGTGTTAGTCTGGATCTGTAAAAAGCGACAAAGAGTCCTGTGGCACTTTATAGACTAACAGATGTATTGGAGCATAAGCTTCCGTGGGTGAATACCCACTTTGTCAGATGAATGTGACAATCTTGAATGCACAACCTTGCCTCTACCCACGTAAGTGTATGCGTTATGACACAATGTACTTATACAATCATGTAATCTCTCAAATAATGCTAAATGACATCACACATTTTTATTCTAAACCTTTAGATCAGATGCGTAGCATCTTGTAACATTCATTCGTGTATAAAGAATCATATCTTACAGTAAATGTAGTTCTTAAAGATGTGTTGTCTACCTAGATTTCACTTCTGGGGCACATGCACTCTGTATGTGTGAAATTTGATTCTTTTTGGCCAACTGTATCCATTGGGGCAGCGTCTGTGCCCTGGATACTCTCATGTCTCACACCTGAGGACATACAATGCAATGATAAACCCACAGAATTGAGTCTCAGAGCCTGGATCAACTGACTCAGACTTATGGGATTCGGGCTGCGGGACTAGAAGTGGCAGTGCAGACATTCAGGCTCAGGCTAGAGCCCAGGCCTCCCCTCTTACAGAGTCTCAGAGCGTAGGCTCTAGCCCAGGCCCAAACTTCTACGCTGCAATTTTATAGCCCCGCAGTCCGAGCCCCTGAGCCTAATTCAGGGGTCCTTTATTGCAGTGTAAATGTACCCATAAAGGCCAGAGAAGACCTAACAATCCCTCAGTTCCTTTGCCAACATACAATCCCAGAAGAGTAGGAAACAGTAGATACAGGAAAGGAAGTGGATCGTGTAAGCCATGTGAATAACACACCTTGAAGGTGTGTTACAAGGTAAATAATTGTTCCTTTTTCTTTAAGTGACTGTCCACACAGATTCCACTTCTGATGACTATCAAACAGTGACCTTACAGTGGGTTCTTGGAGTCCTATTTAAATAATGAATGCAAAGCAGTTCTACCAAAGTGGGTGCCTGATCTGAAGTTTCAACTAAGGAAGAGTGATGGTAAAAGTGTGGACTGATCCCCATGTCGCCGACCTGCAAATTTTGAAAAAGGGATGTTTCGTAGAGAAGCTGAAGAAACTGCCTGAGCTCTGGTGGAATGGGCTCTCATGAGCACGGGTGAATGTGACCCAAGGCACATCTGTATTCACATCCTACGCAGTACTGCAATAGTATTTGTACAAAATAGGCCTTGAAAGCTAACACCACCTTGGTCAATAATATAAATATAATTTAAATCAGGAAGGCCAAATCACACTTGGAGTTGCTGCTAGCAAGAGATGTTAAGAGTAACAAGAAGGGTTTCTTCAGGTATGTTAGCAACAAGAAGAAAGTCAAGGAAAGTGTGGGACCCTTACTGAATGAGGGAGGCAACCTAGTGACCGAGGATGTGGAAAAAACAAATGTACTCAATGATTTTTTTGCCTCTGTCTTCACGAACAAGGTCAGCTCCCAGACTGCTGCACTGGGCAGCACAGTATGGGGAGAAGGTGACCAGCCCTCTGTGGAGAAAGAAGTGGTTCGGGACTATTTAGAAAAACTGGACGAGCACAAGTCCATGGGGCCAGATGCGCTGCATCCGAGGGTGCTAAAGGAGTTGGTGGATGTGATTGCAGAGCCATTGGCCATTATCTTTGAAAACGCATGGCGATCGGGGGAGGTCCCGGATGACTGGAAAAAGGCTAATGTAGTGCCCATCTTTAAAAAAGGGAAGAAGGAGGATCCGGGGAACTACAGGCCAGTCAGCCTCACCTCAGTCCCTGGAAAAATCATGGAGCAGGTCCTCAAGGAATCAATTATGAAACACTTAGAGGAGAGGAAAGTGATCAGGAACAGTCAACATGGATTCACCAAGGGGAAGTCGTGCCTGACTAACCTAATTGCCTTCTATGAGGAGATAACTGGCTCTGTGGATGAGGGGAAAGCAGTGGATGTGTTATTCCTTGACTTTAGCAAAGCTTTTGATATGGTCTCCCACAGTATTCTTGCCGCCAAGTTAAAGAAGTATGGGCTGGATGAATGGACTGTAAGGTGGATAGAAAGCTGGCTAGATCGTCGGGCTCAACAGGTAGTGATCAATGGCTCCATGTCTAGTTGGCAGCCGGTTTCAAGCAGAGTGCCCCAAGGGTCGGTCCTGGGGCCGGTTTTGTTTAATATCTTTATTAATGATCTGGAGGATGGTGTGGACTGCACTCTCAGCAAGTTTGCAGATGACACTAAACTGGGAGGCGTGGTAGATACACTGGAGGGTAGGGATCGGATACAGAGGGACCTAGACAAATTAGAGGATTGGGCCAAAAAAACCTGATGAGGTTCAGCAAGGACAAGTGCAGAGTCCTGCACTTAGGACGGAAGAATCCTATGCACTGCTACAGACTAGGGACCAAATGGCTAGGTAGCAGTACTGCAGAAAAGGACCTAGGGGTCACAGTGGACGAGAAGCTGGATTTGAGTCAACAGTGTGCTCTTGTTGCCAAGACGGCTAACGGCATTTTGGGCTGTATAAGTAGGGGCATTGCTAGCAGATCGAGGAACGTGATCGTTCCCCTTTATTCGACATTGGTGAGGCCTCATCTGGAGTACTGTATCCAGTTTTGGGCCCCACACTACAAGACGGATGTGGAAAAATTGGAAAGAGTCCAGCGGAGGGCAACAAAAATGATTAGGGGGCTGGAGCACATGACTTATGAGGAGAGGCTGAGGGAACTGGGATTGTTTAGTCTCCAGAAGAGAAGAACGAGGGGGGATTTGATAGCTGCTTTCAACTACCTGAAGGGGGGTTCCAAAGAGGATGGAGCTCGGCTGTTCTCAATGGTGGTAGATGACAGAACAAGGAGCAATGGTCTCAAGTTGCAGTGGGGTAGGTCTAGGTTGGATATTAGGAAACACTATTTTACTAGGAGGGTGGTGAAGCACTGGAATGCGTTACCTAGGGAGGTGGTGGAATCTCCTTCCTTGGAGGTTTTTAAGGCCCGGCTTGACAAAGCCCTGGCTGGGATGATTTAGTTGGGAATTGGTCCTGCTTTGAGCAGGGGGTTGGACTAGATGACCTCCTGAGGTACCTTCCAACCCTGATATTCTATGATTCTATGATAATTGTGAACATAGGCACCGACTCTGCGGAGCACCCATGGGGAAAAATTAGCGGGTGCTCTGCACCCACCGGCAGCCAAGCTCCCCCCTCCTCGTCTCCTTCTCCTCCCTCCTCGAGTGCGACATGTCCCCGCTCCTCCCCCTCCCTCCCAGTGCTTCCAGCCGCCCGCTGCCTAACAGCTGTTTGGCGGCACTTAGGACTTTCTGGGAGGGAGAGGGAGGAGTGGGGATGCAGCGTGCTCCGGGGAGGAGGCCGAGAAGAGGCAGGGCAGGGGCAGGGGCAGGGACTTGCGGGGAAAGGGGTGGAATGGGGGTAGGAAGGGGGCAGGGCTGGGGTGGGAAAAGGCGGGGTGGGATGGGGGTGGGGCAAGGGCGGTGCAGGGGCAGGAAGAAGCGGGGCCAGGGGGGTCGAGCACCCACCGGACAGAGGGAAAGTCGGCGCCTATGATTGTGAAACATATGTAACATTAACAACAAGGAGTCTGGTGGCACCTTAAAGACTAACAGATATGTAACATTATATATGAAATTATAAATGCTCTCTATGTTATTAGAGCATGTTTAAGACCAAGCAACAGAGGGTCCTGTGGCACCTTTAAGACTAACAGAAGTATTGGAGCATAAGCTTTCGTGGGTGAATGCCCACTTCATCAGACTAACACGGCTACCCTTCTGATACTGTTTAAGACCAGATTGCCTAGCCTAGGTAAAGCCGATAAACCAATTTGTCTTAGACAAAGGAATTTGTTTAGCCCTAATTTACATATTAGCACTAAACAAAGCCATCGAGCTAAATCAATATCCTGAGACTGAACTCAGGAGACAGAATAAGACGGTTACTCACTTTTGTAACTGTTGTTCTTCGAGATGTGTTGCTCATATCCATTCCAATTAGGTGCGCGCGCCGCGTGCACGATCGTCGGAAGATTTTTACCCTAGCAACACTCGGTGGGTCGGCTGAGGCGCCCCATGGAGTGGCGCCCTCATGGCGCCGGATATATGCCCCTGCCGACCCAGCGCCCCTTCAGTTCCTTCTTGCTGGCTACTCCGACAGTGAGGAAGGAGGGCGGGTTTGGAATGGATATTAGCAACACATCTCGAAGAACAGTTACAAAGGTGAGTAACCGTCTTTTCTTCTTCGAGTGCTTGCTCATATCGATTCCAATTAGGTGACTCCCAAGCCTTACCTAGGTGGTGGGGTCGGAGTTAGATATCGCGGAGTGAAGGACCGCTGAACCAAATGCCACATCATCCCTGGACTGCTGCACTATGGCATAGTGGGAAGCGAAAGTATACACGGATGACCAAGTCACTGCCCTACAGATCTCCTGCATGGGCACATGAGCCAGAAAGGCAGAGGACAAAGCTTGAGCCCGAGTAGAATGGGCAGTGAGGTGGGTAGTTGAGACACCAGCTAAGTCATAGCACACACGAATGCATGATGTAATCCAAGACAAGATTCGCTGCGAGGAGACCGGGAGGCCTTTCATCCGGTCTGCCACTGCTATGAACAGCTGGGACGTCTTTCTAAAAGGCTTTGTTCGTTCAATGTAAAAGGCGAGAGCCCTGCGAACGT